ATCTTATGAGACCATTGGTCTCGGTCTCGATCCGATCTTTTTTCAAAGACTGCTAAAGATCGGACCGGATCGGACCGTTCCCATCCCTACTGATAACGATAATGTCGATCAAGATCGATCAAAAGATTTAAAAAGAAAAAATTTTGAGAAAAAAAATTTTTTCTCACAAAATGAATTCTACACGCTTTTTATTTCGTTCGTTAAGTCGTTCTTCTAATGCTTTTACATTTTTAAGGCAACAAAGACAGGTTACTGTTGGTTCAAGGGCTTTTTCAATATTATCAAGTTCAACTGTCAAAAAACCTGCTATTGTTAAGGTAATTACCATGAAAAAATTTAAATATCGGGGGGGTTTTCGAAAATTTAACGATTAAGTTTAACGTTTTAAACGTTCAAAAGCACTCTCAACCAATTCAAATTCGAACATTGAAAACTCTCGACTTTAGTGGAACCAAAGAAAATATATATGAACGATCCGATTGGCCAAAAGATAAATTTCAAGCATTTTTCAAAAATGATACTATTGCTATAATTGGATATGGACCACAAGGAAGCGGACAAAGTTTGAATGCACGTGATAATGGATTAAACGTTATCCTTGGACTCCGAGAAGGAAGGAGTTGGAACGAAGCCTTGGCGGATGGTTGGGTACATATTATAAATTTTTTTTATGAAAATTCATAAGGGTTTGACGTTATATTTACTTCGTTTCGATTTTCGCGTTTATCAAATATAAAAATAGGTTCCAGGAAAGACACTCTTTTCTATTGACGAGGCATTGAATAAAGGAACAATTATTTTTAATCTTTTATCAGATGCTGCTCAAAAAGAACTTTGGCCCCAATTTGTACCACACCTAACAAAAGGGAAGACTTTATATTTCTCCCATGGATTTTCTATTGTATATAAGGATGATACTCATGTCATACCTCCGAAGGATATTGATGTAATTATGGTTGCTCCAAAAGGGTATATATATATATATATATAAATCAATCATTTAAAAAATTTTTGATTTGGAATTTTGTAAGTTTATTTATTTTGGTGGTATTATTATCATCATCTTGATTCGGTGTAACATAGATCGGGCAGAACCGTTCGTTCTCTCTTCCTTGAGGGACGTGGCATAAATTCTTCGATTGCAGTTTTTCAAGATGTTACTGGTAAAGCAAAAGATAAGGCTGTGGCTCTTGGTGTGGCCATCGGGTCAGGTTACCTTTATGAAACATCTTTTGAAAGGGAAGTCTTTTCTGATCTTGTTGGGGAACGAGGTGTGCTTATGGGTGCCATTCAAGGTTTATTCCTTGCTCAATATGAAGTTTTACGATCACGTGGACATACACCTTCCGAAGCGTTTAATGAAACTGTAGAAGAGGCAACACAATCGTTGTATCCATTAATTGGTGCAAACGGAATGGATTGGTAAAAATTATATTAATATATAATATTTTTTTTATTATTATTTTTTATATTACTAAGTTATATATTTAAAGGATGTATGCTGCTTGTTCAACTACTGCACAACGTGGTGCTCTCGATTGGTATAAACCATTCCGTGATGCTGCCAAACCAGTTTTTGAAAAATTATATGATTCCGTTGCTGATGGAACTGAAGCTCGAAGAACTTTGGAAAAAAATTCTTTACCAACATATCGTGAAGAATTAGAGAAAGAATTAAAAGAAATTAGGTAAAACTTTATATTATAAATGATATTTTTTTAAATTATTTTGATTAAATTATATAAATATGTATATTTTTTTTTATATAGCGACAGTGAAATATGGAGTGCTGGTAAAGTTGTACGAAGTCTCCGTCCAGAAAAAAAAATGAAATAGAATTTTTGTTATAAACATTTATTTATATCATGTAAAAAATAAAACATGTATCAATGAATTGATTGATTGATTGATCTTCATTTATCGATAATCCCTTAATTTAATATTTGTCTCCGAAGTGGTTCGAGAACCTCATTCGCGTGAATTTAAAATTTAAATCTTTTTTTTTTACTTATTGTGAAACCTCATCTGAAATGCAGCGAATAATCGACAAAAAAAAAAAAAAACTTTGAAACGACCTTCATTATGGTAAATTCGCTTCAAAATACGATATTTATTATTGAGATCAATTATTTTTTAAAGACAATAGATATTCTATCGTATAAGTATTTTCATCGCATCTATGGAAAACAAAAATAATTAAATAACGAAAACCAAAAATTTATTGAAAATTAATTATATTTTTACTTACATTTTGGCCAAATCTTCTTGAGTTTTTCCAATAGCTTTTTGTAATAACCGTAATATACTCGAAAATTGATTAGAATATTGTCTTAAATATCTCCCATGTATAGTTAATAATTTCATTATCCATAATAAATGAAATTCAATGTGAGGAGATTCTTCAATGTTATTGGCAATAAATTTTAATAATTTGTCCGTATATTTTTCTGGTAAACCTTTAACTATTAATTCAATATTTTCAGGTAAAATTTTTTCATATACTTGATGAATTAAATACAATTCGTTAAGTTTAAATGACATGATCAATGCTTTAAGATATTCTTTTGAACGTAAAGTTTCTAATACTGTTATAGGTGTGATATCAATTTCCAACTCAAATGGATCAAATATTAAATTTTCATCTAATGAATAGATGAGTAAACCTTCCGTTGATGCCGCTGACCATGATCTACCTGTTGGTGAAAATTTGATAGATTTTGTCCGAATTTCTGGTCTTGTTTTACGTAATGAAAGGTCTCCTTTTTGTGTTCCTGGTAAACTATTATCTAACCTGTCTTCTAGATCACTTAATTCCCCTGTTTCATCTATTAAATCAATTGGTCCGGCTTCTGTCATATTTTTACTATTTAAAAATTCTTGAATTCCATCTAAAGATAAATTATGAGAAATCTGGAATTTTCTTAAAAGTATTTGACTTTTCAAATCATAAAGACAAACATATTTGCTATTCCCCCCAGCCAATATACAAGATCCATCAGCTGTATAGCATAAATTATTAAATGATTTCCCTGAAGAGGAATTTGCAGCAGTAGTTCTATCATTTACCTTTCTACCACCTGAAATATCTTTACGACCTTCAACTGTACCAGTTTGAATGCCATTTTCTAAATCCCAAAAATTGATTTGACCATCTAATGTGGAAGTTGCCAATTGTTTTCCATCAGGACGGTAAGTTATGGCCAATACATCCGAATTATGACGATAAACTTCGACATGTTTCCCACGATTAAAGACATCCCATATACGGGTCGTACCATCCCATGAACCAGAAGCTAATTCTATACCAGTTGGACTAAAAGCTAAAGAACTTATTGGTCCTTCGTGACCTGACAAAATATCTAAAAGTTTACCGGTCTGAACAGACCATACAAAAATTTCAAAAGTATCCATCGAACCAGCACATACAATTTCTCCACTAGGATCAACGGTTAACGCAGTGAATTGAACAGGCGAAGGTGATGTAAAGGTTCTAAAATTTCTATAACGAATTAAGTCAAACGCTCGAACAGTTCCATCTAAGGATGCGGAAAATAACACTTGACCATTTTTCGCGAATTCCACCACTGTCACGCCCGAGGAATGTTCGGAGAACGTGACAAAACAAAATCCGGATATTGTATTCCACACTTTTACTTTCCCATCATCACCTCCAGTTGCAATATTCTGACCATCCGCTGAATATGATAAAGTATTCATATCATAGTAATGTCCTTGTTGTTTAAGAACATATGATTCAGATTGCCATTCCCAAACTAAAAGTTGTCCTAATTTCGAAGATCCAAATGCCAACCATTCTCCAGTCGCATTAATTGTTACAGAATCAATTTTTTTTTGTGAAATACTCAAAGTATGAATATTATTAAAATCTGGCATTTCCCAAATTCCAAAAATACCAGATGTAAAACCAACTACTAATAGTTTCGACGCTGCGTGATAAGCAGAACAAACTACTTTCGCTCCAGATTGATTAAAGTAATGACGAGTCACTATCATCCATTTTTTGGTTAGTTGTGGATCATCTTTTTTATCAATATCCATTTCATCCACATCCACATCCTCTTCCTCAACCCTCTTTATCTCATCATGTGATTTGTATTTCCAAATAAATAAAGCACCATCTTTACTAACGGTATATATCTTGAATATAAAATTGGTAAATTTTTTAAATCGAGATTTAATTTTATTCAAGGTACCACAAAGTAAAATACACTTACTGTTTCTTGGTCAGCGGAAAAATACGCTCCAATTACGTAATCTCTATGACCAGATAAAGTGATAGGCGTGAAACCTTCGATGGGATGTAAAGAATAAATTCTTGCAGTCATGTCTTTTGAAGTGGAAATAAAAAATCTAAAATAAAAATAATTAATTTTTAAAAGCTTAACTAACAAAACGGAAAAAATATATATATATAAACTCACTGAGAATCACTTGTCCATGTTATAGAAGTGACATCATCAAAATGACCTGTATATTTTCGATGTAAAACAAACGGAGCAAATTCACGATTAAAGCCTGGAGATTTCCAAACTTGAATGTGCTTTCCAATGGCAACAGCGAAATATCTGATTAATTTTATTTTAAATTAAATTAATTATTTTAAGGAAAACACTAAATGATCACGTAATTCTTACCTTCCATCTGTACTAAATTGTATATCTTCAGCTGGTGATTTAAAATTAAAATGATGTAATACTATGCGACGTTGAAAATTAATTAAAAGAACTCTGCCCTCTGAAGATTGATCAATATATAAACCGGGAATTAGGCAAATTAAATTCGAACAAACTTGTTAAAGTGGAAAACGAATTAACAAACCTTCATCAACCGTTATTAACAAATTAGCTTTTGGCGATAAGGCAAGTCGTTTTATATTTTTTTTTGTCTCGAATGGAAAAGTTAGGGATTTGTTGCTATGCAAAAATATAAAGCAAGTTTTTAGGTACTATTCTTAATGAAAAATAAATAAATAATAATAAAAACTTACTTCACAAGATCGAACACTGAAACACGGTTTCCAACCGGACTCAGCAATGAATTTCCGTCGGGAGTAAACAATAAATTTCCCTGGGTGTATACTGTTCCGCATAAATTTGAAAACTATAAACATGCATTAATAATTAACAAAGAATTGTATATTTCCTTTGCTTCCTTTGAATGGAAGAGCGAGTTTACAAATAATTAAATAAATACTTTGAAATCTGTCTTCATTTTTTTTTTATAAAAAAAAAAATAATTCGAATATATTTATTAAATGGTGGAAATCACGTGAGAAATATCATCCATCTTTAAAGTTCAGAAAATGGATTTTCAATTACACAATTCTATAATTAGATGCACAATATGCCGCGATGTTACGTTAAATTTTATATTTCTTTTAGAATTTGGAGAAAGAAAAATGTCTTTAACAAAAGCCGTCAAAGATCTTAAAGGTCGTCTTGATGGAAAAGTCTGCATTATTACTGGAGGAGGAAGGTATAAAAAGATATATATATACACACATATATATATTTGCCGAAGAGCTAATTTTAAGTCTTTGCTTTGTCATTTGTAGTGGTATCGGTTTTGAAGCCTCGGTTCTTTTTGCACGAGAAGGAGCTGATGTTGTAGTAGCTGATATCGATCTTAAAGCCGCTGAAGCTACAATTGAAAGGATTAAGGATAAAACCGGGCTAATACATGTTCGAAGACATGCTATTGCTTTGAAATGTGACGTTTCCAAAGAAGCAGAAGTTAGGAAATTAGTGGAAGATACTTTGAAAGAATTCGGTAATTCTTTTTATAAATTTTCAAATTTATGAATTTTATTTATATATTTGTGCACGTTAAAATAGGTAAGCTTGACGTTATGTTTAATAACGCGGGTATCATGCACCCTCAAGATGATAATGTTATCAATACCGATGAAAAAGTCTGGTAAATAATATCATATAAATAATAATAATTGTTTCATTAAATAGAGGGTAATTAACCTTTTGTTTAATCCATGATAAAGGGATCTTACTATGGATATCAATCTTAAAGGAGTCTGGTTTGGATGCAAATACGCTATTGAAGCAATCCGAAGGGGAGGCAAAGGTGGTAGTATAATTAACACGGCAAGTTTTGTCGGGTTGATGGGTGCCGCAACTCCTCAGTTAGCATGTAAGGATTATACATTTTAAAAAATGTTATGTAAGGCCTGTTATTCTGTTAACTTGGCTATTTTATTTAGATACCGCTTCCAAAGGCGCAGTTATAGCATTAAGGTATGTAAAATCCGAAATCAATCATCCATGCATTGTCTACTTTTTTTCATTTTCATTTTCATTTTCATTTTCATTTTTTTTTTTCTTTCGAATAAATAAAGTCGAGAATTGGCAGTTTGCCACGCTCGTGAAAACATTCGCGTTAATGCAATATGTCCGGGACCTTTACGTACCCCATTATTAATGAATTATCTAAATACAGATGAAAAAAAAAATAGACGTTTAGTTCATGTTCCATTGGGAAGATTTGGTGAGCCAATTGAAATAGCCAATGCCGCTTTATTCTTGGCATCCGATGAATCATCCTATATTACAGGCATTGAATTTAAAGTTGATGGTGGTCTCACTGCTGCTTATGTGGTAAATATTAATCTAAATAAAAATATTTTTTTATTTTTATAACGAAAAATATAACTTCCTTATTTTTAGACTTCCGAAGAACCTTGTTCTAGTATACCACCAAAAAATTTTTTCAAACATTCAGAAGGAGCTAATTAACACTCATTCAATGAACTTATAAAAAATACTTTGTGCATTAAATTGAAAATATTAAAAAATAAATATGTA